TATTTAAGTCTAGTTTTCAAAATTCTTGGTTTATTAAATTTAAATAGCTTCAATATAATAAAGTTTTTTAATGAATGTTTTAAAATATTGCAAATATTATAAAAAACAAATATAGTATAAAATAAAATTAGAGAATGCCTATTTTCACTATGATAATTTGCTATTTTCACCATGGGTTATACAAAATTTTCTATTTTTAATATTTATATAGTAAAAGTTAGTTTTTTAAAAATTAAAGAAGTTTTTAATAAGTAAACCTTTCTTTGTGGTTAGATCATTAAAATCGGCTTGGTGGATCCCAAGATATTTGAGGTTAAAGGCGCAAAACATAAAATCTACAAATTCACTATTACACAAAGTATTATAGTCTATAATACTTATGTTTGTGTCTTTAAACCCAAATATCTTGGGATGCACCAGGCCAATTTTAATAATTTAACCACTATTAGAATCAGAAAAATTTTCTCTACAACTTTACTTGAAGCTGGAAGAAATGTTTACTTATTAAAAACTTCTTTAATTTTTAAAAAACTAACTTTAGCTTTAATTATTTTAATTTTAACCCTAAAGATAATAAGTAAATCTTTCTTTGAGCTCTAAATAAAGTTGTAGAAGAGACTTTTCTGGTTCTAATGATGGTTAGATTATTAAAATCGGCCTGGTGAATCCCAAGATATTTGGGGTTAAAGGCGCAAATATAAGTATTATAAACCATAATACTTTGTGTAATATTGAATTTGTAGATCTTTATGTTTGCACCTTTAACCTCAAATATTTTGGGATCCACCAAGCCAATTTTGATGATCTAATGTTTACTTATTAGTTTTAGAGTTTGGGTTAGGATTAAAGGTTAGGGTTAGGGTTAGGGTTAGAGTTAAGGTTAGAGTTAGTGTTAAGGTTATAAGTTTTTTATATTATTATCTAAAAATAGAAAATCTTGTATAACCATGATTGAAATAGTAGCTCCCTAAAATTATTACTATTTATATAATATTTTCATTATAAAATCTATAAATTTTGAGTAAAAAAATCCTGTTAAAAACATATCTTTAAATTAACATATAGGTGCAATAAACTTGATACTATTAAAAAATTAAAAAATAAAGAATCAAAACAACCTATACAAAAAAACAATAACTATATAGTTAAAATTTTAAAAATTGTATATATACTTATAAGTTAAGATATATTATACTTTCTTATTTTATTCAATTGTCTTATAAATTGGAGTAATTATTTATTATAGATGGTTTAATTATTTATGAAAATGAAGTATCTAATTGTGAGTTTGTATTTTTATATCAAATATAATCAAAGCTAAAATAAGAAAATAAATTAGAAAACTATATTTTTCAGTATTATAATTAATAAGAGTATGAATATTTATATAAACAAGCATATAGATATTTATATAATATTGTTACAAGTGAGATGGCCTTCTTAATTTACTACCTGCAACATAGCACATAGTGACAGAGATCTCTAAAACAACAAGGCGAAATATAAAGTGATGTGGAAGTGGAATATTTCCTCACTAGAGCAGTTTGGTATATTTATTAAAAGCATAGAGACATAGTTTACTTTAGGGCAAAAATATGTTTATTTATTTATAATACAATATCTAGATACAAAGCTATCTACAGATATCTATTCATAGAATCCTAATATTTAGAACATTGCAGGAAACAAATTCTCCAGTACAAGAAGAGTAAAAGCTAGGGTTTATATAGCTTTTACAATATATATAAAAGATATAAAAAGTACTAAACATATAAAAGGTATAAAAGGTAAAAAGGTATAAAAAGTATAAAAAGTATAAAAAGTATAAAAGGTACAAAAAGTATTAAAGGTACAAAAGGTATAAAAAGTACAAAAGGTATGAAAAGTACAAAAGGTATAAAAGTTACAAAAAGTATTATCTAGCTAACCGATAGTTCATTTGTTATATATTGTAGCTTGTTTTGATTGTTACAATCTTCTGGATCTAATAGAGATAAAATTTCTAATATGTTCTATAATGTTAACATGTTCTATAACAATATATTCAAATAGCTTAGAAAATATCAAAACACATTTTATACAATTGCTTGCACTTAATCAAAGTGATATAGCAATAATAACAACTAAATTAATTAAACCATTTCAAAATTATAGTAAGTATTATAAATTTTTTTTTTTTTTTTGGTATTAAGGTAAGGCCTTGCTTATATCTTTATTAATTATTAATTTATATAAGTAATTACATATTAACTATATAAAAACTTAATTTGTATATTAGCAAATAAATATAAATTATATGCAAGAATAAAAGCTCAAACTAAAAGCTTTAACTAAAGCTCAAACTAATTATCTGTGATCTAAACCTACTAGAGCGGCCAAGACTCACCTAGATTTGAAAACTTTATACAAATCTAGGTGAGTCCTGAATAAGTATAAAGTTTCATAGAGATTTTATAAGATATGTAAGATATAGTTTTTTGTAATATAAATAAGTATAGTATTTTTAAAGAAGTTTTGAGTATGTAAGTTGAAATTATAAAAGTTAATATAGAAATAATTGTAATAAAGTTAAAAAGAAAGATAAAAGTAAATAATATTGTTAGATAAAAGTTGAATATTCAGTTATAGTTGGTAATACTTCCTCAGTACACCGGGCCTAGCATGCTACTAGTAATAATCAAATACACAGCCCTGCAGTACTGTATGTTATAACTATAGTACTACAATGACAAGGTTATGAAAATCATTTTTGTACAATTTAAGAGGGATAAGATTTGCTAATTAGTTGCTTTATTTGGCTTTGTATTGATTTGTTAGAGAATTTTGAGTTGTACAATATATATTGGTTTTAGGTTTAAAGTTTGTAAAGAGTTTTGTTAAAGTTTTTAATGAAATAAGCTATTTTCATAGAGAAGCTTTAAGTGAAGTTTACTACCAAGGGAAGTAAAGAGTTCACTTGAAAATAAAGTTGTAGAGTTAACACAAGAGAAGAAAGTTCTTTTGTCTCAGAATGAAGTTGCAGAAGGTACAAGCAAGATTTTAGTTGAAAGAGCCAAGGAGCTTTATCCATATGAGATTTATGAAATTGGATTTACAAAAGTAGAAAAGTATGTATTTAAATTAATATATGTTAGTTTATAATAAAATTGTATTTTTAAAATAACTAAGAAAGAATAATATAGTTTATGAAGTAAAAAGGATAATGTAAAGAAAAGATTGAATAAAATTAATAATTGTATATATGAGCAAGAATTATAACAAGATTCTGAAGATTATGTTTTAAGTTTTTTGCATGATCAAAAAGAAATTTTTTACTAAGGTTAAAGCAAATAAGAATATTACAATGAGTAGAAAGTTTTGGTAAAATTGATAATAGTAAAAGTATAGTAGAGAATAGTTAGAATATAAAATATGTAGAAGTTAAAAAAAAAGAATATTTAAAGTAAAAATAAAGGAGAAATTAATTTGTTTGTTGTTTAGTTATATTGTTAAATTTTAATAAAATTTAAAATAAAGTGAAGTTGTTATTGAAAACAAGAGAAAGGTATTTAAAAATTTGATAAATATAATTTAAGAAGAAAAAAAAAAACTTAGTGAATAAAAGGGTTTAGGATTTTTTGTTGTATTAAAGTTTAAAATAAAATAAAGTTGAAGTATTTGAAAATATTGATAAATATAATTTAAAAAGAAAGAAAGAGTAAATCAGGGATTTTGGATATTTGAAAGTTTGGTAAAAAAAGATCTGTATTAATTATTGGGATTAGAAGTTTTTTGAAAATATATTTTATAGCTTGTAGAAGATAAGATTAATAATATTTAGAAAAAATTAAAAAGATTGAGTAAGTAGAAAATTATATAATATTAAAATAAGTTATAATATTAGCGAAGTGATAAAAGTTTGTTATAATTAGTGTTCCAAATCGTTAGTTGAAAAACCAAATAGTTGACAACTTTCTAACTAACCGGTTAGAAAATTTTTTAATTAAATAACTGATTGATAATCAACTAATTTAACTACGGTTAACCATTAGTTGTCAACTAGTTGTCAACTAACTGGTTGTCTATATTAATTAACTACACAACTATTTGCAACTAATTCAATCACATATGTTTACCAGAATGGTAATTAATAAGGTAGCTATGCAACATCGATATTAAGTAGTCTGAAATTTTATATTAATTTGATTCTGCGATTTTTTGATCAGATATGTTAAATTTGATCATGTTATAGTTAAAGCCAGTGTTGTCAATAGACATGGACATGTCTATTGGATAAACAAACATTGGACTGTCCATGTCTATGTCCACTAGGTATTAATGTCCATATTTAATATCTATATATAATAACACTTGCCAAAATAACACGCAGGAGTGTGATTTCAAATTTCGGCCTAAATTAAGCTTAATTTGGGCCTAGATTCAAAATAATACTCTGTGTGTTATTTCGGTAATATACTGAACTAATATGAAGTTTAAACCCTATAGCTCGTTATAAGAATGTTTATTAAGCTTATATGACATTGAATTGCGCTGTAAATTATTATGATTGCAACCGTGAGATGTTGTAAAAATTAATCTTACTTTCTAGCGATACATATCTATTAAGTTTATCTACTTAGTTAATCTAACATCCATTGAATGTGAATAAAAATAACTAACTGGTCATTCCTGTGTTCTATTTTCACATTTCAATTTTCATACTTTCACATATTATTAATTTATCAATTACATTCTTGTTACAACATTAGTCATGCGTAATTATGAGATTGTCCAATCAGATAGTTTATATAATAGGATATTACTGATCTATGAATTTTTAAGTATTATAGCGATTTAATTTTTAGACAATTTAAAATTATAGCACTTTGCAAAAAGATACGATTATAATTAACAAAGACCATATCTTATAATAGTTAGTATCAGATATTGTAGTATATTATTGTGTAATTTAATTATATCAGTTTAGCTAATATATTTAATAAAACTTATTTTATTATTATTTAAAATGGTAAAGATAATTCTTTAAAAAAAGATTCTAATCTCCACTTTGTATTTGTATCGATAGCTGGATATGTAATATTATATAAATATTGATTTTCTTCAATATCATTTTCGTCATCTTCACTATCTTCACCTTCAAGTCTTCTTTCTTCTTCTTCTAACAGATCTGACCATCCTTCTAAATAACTCTCAAAATTTTCTTCTGGGTTATCAGTAAAATCGATTACTTCATTATTCTCATCTTCATTAACAGTAAACTCTTCTATATCAGTAATAGTATTTTCTTGAGCGATTGTTATAGTATCTTCAGCATTTGTTGCAGAGTCTTCTGAATTAGTTTCAACATTTTTTGTATTAATTGTGGCTTTTTTTTTATTAGCTTTAAGAGATTTCAATTCTATTCTAATATTTTGTATAGTAGGTAAGTTTGTATTGTATTAAGAGCAATGACTATATATAATATCTGCATGTAGTTTACTCATATCAAGAACTTTAGAATTCTATAATAATAGTTAAATATTAAAAATTAAATGTATAATAAATTTTTATATAATTAAAAATTAAAATATACTTCTAATCGATTACACCTATCTGAATGCAAAAAACCTATACAACTCCAGAGTCTTTCTACTGCAGCCGTATTTACACTAATCCCAAAGATTTTACATGCTACAAAATCTAATTCATTAGTTGAAGTACTAACAAAACACCAATATAGATATATATCATTGTCAAATTGATTCCATGTTCCTGAATCAAAAGGATACACTTCTAGTCAAAAATTATCAAATTCTTTAAGAATACATTTTGGTAATTTTTCAGACCACACATTATAGTAATATCCGAGCCATTGACCAAATGTAGCATAGTTAATATTTGCATTTTAAGGATTAAACTTTTTCATACGATATTCTGGATGTAGTAAACAAGCAAGTATAAGAAGAGGCTGCTCCTACTCATGCCATCGATTTTCTTCATGCAAACGTGCTTTATCATATTGTAATATATTAAGAATTTTACAATATGGATAAAGAATTTCCATTAGATGTTTAAGACATTGCCAAAAGCTTGATAAAGTAATAATTTCATAAATTTCTTGTTTTAAAACTGGGTTATTTCCTGAAGATCGATTATGTAATAGCTCAAATCGAATTGCTAATATCTAAATATATATATTGTTATAGAACGAATTAATTATTAGTTTATTATTTTATTATTTATTGTTGCGGATGATGGTGAAATTGGATGATCGTGAAATCTGGGGGCCTTAATTTAAAAATATAAACTCTACTAAAACCCACC